TCTCTAAAAAGAGCCGGAAATCCCATCACTACTGCCTTCTCGTCTTGGCACACAAGCGGTGAAATCGTGACGTAAATGCTGCACGCTCTTTGGCTTTTTGTCAGACTCGGGATCCACGGTGTTGGGTTTTGTGGAGCCATTTTCCTCATTTCCAGGTTTCAAAATTAGTGGTTTGGATTGTTGTGAAGGAGTCGCTCTGATGACCAGCCAATCGGTGGCAGTCTATTGACTTTACATTTTCAGATGGACTGAGCTAAACTTCGGCCAAGCAGATAAAAGAAAAAGTACCTGGTACCACCTAATGGAAAACCTTGAAAACAGAGTTGAGTGGAGTTGAGTACAAGTGGAAAAGTACCCAAACCATATGGTTTATTCCAAGACATTGCTTCCACACAAGCAATTAGTCGTAAAACGATGGCCTGAAAGGGGAACAGTTTAAGGCTAACCTATAAAAATGTGTTTTCAAAAGAATTAGCCAACCTGATAGGCTGAGGAAGGCTGTTTCATGATTTAAGCGCCATGATCACCTCTGGGTTTTAAAGTCAGAGCGAGGGACAGAAAGGAGACCCAGGTTATAACGTGTAACCATACAGCAGATACATCTGAACATGTTTTCAGGTGCAGTTACACAGCTGAAATGAGAGTTGTTGCCAGGCCTGTGTGCTGTGCTATTGATCAAGATTAAATTGTATTGTCTCTGTTCAGACATGTGACAGAGGGCTGAAATTGAATTGGATGTTTTAAAGCAGTTACATGTTGGACTGTAATCCCAGCCCATTGTTTGAATCTTTCTTCTTGATAGTGTCCTCAGTCTCTTTTAAAGGAAAGATCCTTGAGCTGTACCCAAAACTTTGAATAAATTGATCTGCTGAGAGCTGGATTTTTGTGTCTTTAGCATTTGCTTCCTCTTTTCTTTTTCCTCTTGTGATCTGCGCTGCCGCATCAGAGCGCATGACTTTGTGGCAGAACCTGATTAATCATGGGACAGCTCAAGCCAAGTCACCTTGTCGCTTGGCGCAGATCCAGGAGGAGACAGTTATGGTGGTAAACCAACACGCTAATGGTGTCAACCGGGGACAAGTCGAGGATCTCGCTGTTCTTTCCAGTTTATTGATCAAACCAGGCCTGCCTTTGACGACAGGTTTGTGTCCGTGTGACGCAGCGCTCGTTGTTAAAAAGCTTAAATCGGCAACAAATTGTTTTCCCGCCTTGCTTATTATTCCTCCTTCATTTCTGTCTACCGGCGCTTCTTGCGGCGCTGCGTTGCCCTCTCTTTTCTTTTCTGGGGCTACCTCCATCTGTCTCTGCAGGTGTGTTTTGTGTTTTGTTTCTTGTCTGCCATTCTTTGATCACTGTTGTAAATTCTTTTCTGCCCTCTTTCAGTTCTTTGTCTTTGTGGTTCCGTCTCGCAGAGATGTTTGTTGATGGGGTGTTTTTTTTGTTGTTGTTGTTAAAAATGATGAAAGATGGCAAATTCATTCCTTGCCACTTTTCAAACAAATAGCACATATTTGGCAGTCGTGCAAAAATATCCCACCAGTTATTCAATACCTCACTATCTGTCCCAATGCACTGGTTTATTCCCTCTTCTAAACAGCTGAATGGCATCCTGCGGTCTGAATGTTCTGCATGCTCATTCATCTGTAGTCAAAACAAATTAGTAAGGTTTGGTTCGGCGTTGTTTTTGTCAACAGCGACGGATCTTTATGGGTCATTTTTCTTGATAGTTTAATAAGTTTGGCTCACAGGGATGGATAAAGACTGTAATGTTAGTGAGAACAAGCAGAATTAACGACAGTCACATGTTGAGACAACAAAGGGATTAAAGATGAGGGAAGAAAAACAAGTTGTGTTTCAAAAGTCCTTTGCAACTGGAAGCAGCAGCTCTTTGGTTTTGGTGTCAAATGCTCTAAAAAATAAAGCAGTGTCAACTGACAGGGAACGTTAAATTACTTCCATTTGTCAAACGTGGCTGATTTTGTTTCTGGCTTGTTTTTTTTAAACTATAAAGTGTGTGTGGAAGTCCAGGAGAAAAAGGTTTATCTAACGTTGCTGCAGCACAGCAGAATCCCCAAGGGCTACGGCACTGAGCAGAGTGACAACTGTAAAAACACAGAGTACAGTTGTGCTTTGTTGGCGGCAACAGCAGTGTGCACATCTGGCTTTGATCACCATGGTGATGGTGGTGCGGGGAGTGACAGGGCATGCAGAGCGATGGAGACTCTCGGGGGAATCATTATCCTGTTTAGTAAGCCTAATGAGAGAAAAGGTGTTGCACCTCAGTTAACTGCTGTCCTTGTCTGAAACACACACACACACACACATGCGCGCGTGTGCAAGCAAAACTAAACAGTGTGCATGACAGATGTAAGTAAACTCCCTATTCTATAAGACTTACAGTACAAACAAAGACATGTAATTACAGCGTTACCGCAGCCTTCCACAAATTAACACACTGTTAACACTCATCATAACACTGGAAAAGTTGCAAGATGGCGTGAAAATGTGCACCCAAATGTAGTCTGCTGTTGTTTACCAAAGTTTTATTCATTTAAGTGTGTCATACCAGCAGCAAAGGCGAATAATTGCTTAAAACAAGAAAAGAACAGATGAATCAGTGGGGGGAACTTGTGAAGAAAAACCAAAAGCATGCCGTTTGATTGGGAGCCCGAAAACACCCCACTGTATCTACCTTTTATTCAAGGCATTCCTCTTGCAGATTAATTAGAGATATTTAAAACTGGTAAAATTTCAGTTGTGCTACTACATACCATTTTGAAAAATGTCAACTTGTCTTTTATTTTTTCAACCATGTATCCGCACATTGTGCCTAAAGAACAATACAGAACAGCTGTTTCTGTTGACCTGATGCTATAAGCGGACATTTCAATTAAGAGGCAGAAAGATATTAGTACTAGAGCTCTAAAGCGTCCTTAAACCCTGAGGTTGGGATTAATTTAAATAACATATATTCCAACAACTCAATGACAAAGAGAGGCTGTATGTTAAATAGCTTAGTAACAGAAACCAAGCAACCCTAGGTAGACAAACTAGGAGCTCTGAGACATTCATCTTCAAGGCAAGAACATTAAAAACCTACAGGGAGTACACACATGACCATGACCAATCTCTGCAATATCTTGCATACAACAGCTTCCTCCTCACTGCAGAAATCCAACTCTTTTCTCTGTTTTTGTAGATTATATACTCACCAGCCACTTTTTGGGTACACTTTTTTCATGTAACTCATTACATTTGTGCACATAGACATGGACAAGATGACCTGCTGAAGTTCAAAGATGGGGAAGAATTGCAACTTTTGAATTCGGTGTGGTTGTTGGTGTCAGACTGGCTGGTCTGAGTAATTCAGAAACTTCTGATCTACTTGGATTTTCCCACACAACCATCTCCAGGGTTTACAGAGAATGGCCTGAAAATGAGAAAATATCCAGTTAGTCTGGGTGAAAATGGCCAGGCTGATGGGGATAGAGCGATAGATAGAGCTGATACAAAGGCAGCTATAATTCAAATAACCACATGTTACAACCAACGTTTGCAGAAAAGCATCTCTGAATCCAAAACACATCAAATCTTAAAGCAAATGAACATACAGTCTATAAGTATTTTTCCTGATCGTGTCCATGCATTTATGACCACAGTGTACCCATCTTCTGATGCCTGCTTCTAGCAGGATAATGTGCCATGGCACAAAGCTCAAATCAAACTGGTTTCTTTAACATAACAATACCCAAATGCCTCCACAGTCACCAGATCTCAATCAAACAGAGCACCTTTGGGCTGTGGTGAAACAGGAGATTTGCATCGTGGATGTGCTGCCCACAGATCTGCAGCAACCATGTGATGCTGTCACATTAATATGGATTAAAATCTCAGAGGAATGTTTCCAGCACCTTGTTGAATCTGCGCCATGAAGAATTAAAGCAGTTTTGAAGGTAATAAGGGGTAAAACATGGTCCTAGCAAGATGTACCAAGGAAAATGTCTGATGAGTGTATGTAACTATTTATATACCGCATTTTAGAAAGGGTCAGGTAAGCTTAAGAAGGAGCTAACCTGTTCCTGTGTTTTGCCTCTAGCTTCTGTGTCATCTTGGCAGTGGTATTGGCATGCCACAAGACTGAAGCTTCATCCACAAACAGGGTAGCCTCTCATTAGTGTGCCATGGAAAAGTAATGGCTTCAGGGAGGGAAGCCAGCTTTGCTGTCACAAACACATTCGTCAGGAGCGTACAGGTATCTGGAAACATGAGACTGTCACGTCAAGACAGACCAACCATCACAAATCTGATTCCTCATTATCATTCATCTGGTATGCAGTTGAAGGTCATCAATCCAATTTTCATCAGTATTCCATGCGGGCGTGAAACTCGGTACCCAAGTGGGAGTAAGTGTGGAATAAATTACTCAAACTTAAAATTGAGAGGCAATGTGTGATCATAACAATCAATAAGGGAATAATTAGATTCTGATTAAGTAAAAAATAGTTACAATCAGTGGTGTATTTAATTTTTTAACAATGTATCTGTGGTACTGCTGTGAGGAAAAGATTTTTCAAAGCCGTTAAAGGTTTTTTTTTACTGAAAGCTGTCATTGTACCTGACGTCTTTGTCTTCCTCCTGCAGCCTTTTTTTCCCCCACCACAGCCTTGAAACTGCATTTCAACATCTCAGTCAGAGCTTAATGTCAGAGTCCATCGCTCATGTGCAATATTTACCTTTTCTGAAAAATGTACCCAGTGCTTATTATAATTCATTTATTTATTTATTTATTGGGG